TTATGAGCAAAAACACATTTTCTACAAGGCTCAGGTATTTTTTTGACATTCATTTAAATACCATTATATATTTAAAACTTTAATGTGCTCAGTTTTAGGAGCCATTCCAGATTCAATTATATAAACATCTAATTGGAGACTCATGTGTTCGGTGTTGAGAATATTAAATATATTCCAAAAAGCCGACTGGCTGCCAGAGGAGACTCAAGGGTTTCTCAAAAGTGGATGGAAGAATCAAAGCAACACTCCAGGTTTGTTTTTCATGAGTGGATAACTTTATAACATGATCAGAATCTTAAAAAAAGCAGATTTTACATTATATCCCCACTCTTTGAATATAGGCAAACCAGATCAGTGTAGAGATATGCTGCTTGCTGGGACGTTCACAACTTTGCTCTCAACTTAAAAAGTCAGGAGGGATTTCTTTTCATGTGTCAACATTATAAATGACGAATGATGTTCACTGAAAAAAGTGACAGTTGCTCTTAGATTTCCAGGTCATAAAGTTTTGGATATCACAGTGATAAAATCTTAATAGAAACCTGTGTCATAATCTATTATGGAAGGTGAAGTACTGTTCTTTTTTTTTCAAGATCAAATTAACATCAGAAAGACTCAAAAGAGACATCGGTTCATTAGTGAATATGTGGGTGTTTTCTTTCTAAATATTTACAATTTGTATTGAAGTAAAAAGTGGAGCTCAAAAAGGAAGAAGAATTATTAATGGAAACGTTCATGACAGGCAGACTTGGAATTAATAATCAAATATTATATGCCGGTGAGTTTTTTGTACTTTCACATTGAAGCGCTCGAGCCAAAGCTTCCTTACCTTTCTGTCTCGATAAAAGCTTTTGCCTATGACGGTTGATCTCTCTATGTAAGCCTGATTTTACTTTGAAATGAAATGAAATGAAATTTATTCGAACATGATACAAATATAAAAATAAAATAGTGCACAGTAACAAAAAGTGCATAAGAAAGAAGAGAAAATACAGATTTTTTGTTTCAGTTGACATATCATGCTCAAAATGGGGTAGGAAGAAGTGAGAACTTATAAACTCCTACCCCTAAACACTTGAGACTGTAGAATCCTACTGTCATTAAAAAAATCAAAATCAAAGTGTCAGTCAGAAGTAACAGTTACTAATATTCACCTATTCATTTTCCCATTTTATACTGGTTTGTCTTTCTTAACCCTTACACCAAGTTATCTGCAATACACACCTTATTGCTTTCTATTACACGTATGTGTATCTATTGAAAATTACCTCTTTGTACTTTCTTTGAATTGCGTTAAACTGTTGCTTTGTTTTAAATCTTCATGTAACTTATTCCATAACTTTACACCTGTAATTGAAATACAGAAGCTTTTCCTTGTTGTTCTGAATTTGCGGATCTTGAAGTTTGAGTGACCCCTCAAGTTATACCCCTTCTCTTTCAGAAAACGTGCTCTGTATGTGCTCAGGTAACAGCTGTTTAGATATTTTGAACATAAATTGAGCCATTTTAAATTCTACAAGCTCGTCGAATTTGAGAATTCTGGATTTTATGAAGAGCGGATTTGTATGGTCATAATAACTGACATTATGGATGATTCTAATGGCTCTTTTCTGTAGGACGGGTTACCGGATGTAAAGAGCTCTTGTAATTAACTCCCCACACTTCACAGCAATATGATAGGTATGGTAAAATCAGGGAGTTATATAGAATATGAAGTGATTTAGCATTCAATACATGTCTAGCTCTAGCCAATATGGATATACTTCTACTGAGTTTACTTTCAGTTTAGTTTGTCTCATTTTTTTCTTTCTTTCAATAATTCATTTATTTTAGTCATGCTTCCTAAAAATGTATAAATAACGAGGGTTATGAATGCTTAATAAAGACTTTATCAATGTCTAACTCAACAACACTTTAGCCTGAATCTAAATGAAAGTTATTTTTAGCTTCAAAATTAAAATGGAATTTGTGATTCAAGGGAAGTTTTTCTCAAACACACGTTTGATTTTTATATCCTTGTATTGTAATTGTGAAGTGAAGGGAAATGTTTTTTTTTTTTTAAACAGGAACTGATAAGTGTGGCATGCATTTGTAATCAGTCCTATTTTTATTTTATCACAAATAAAATTTATCAAGGCCAGTAGTTCAAACAAGATCAAAGTGTTTCTAATATCTATGTCAGAAATCCAATACGTTGTCTTGAACACATCATCCCCATGGGAAAATTTGGTGCTGGCAGCATCATGCTGTGGGAGAATATTTGGCTATACAGAGTTCACACTCGTTTCTTAATTTCAGAAATTAACCTATTTAAATTTAGTGATTTCATCACTTCCCTTACAATGTACAAAAAAGTGCTAGTTTGTGTTGGTAAATTAGATCAGAGTGAATATATTAAAGCATATCAATTCAAAATATGTTAAGGTTTGTGGCTTTGACCTCACAAAATATCAAAAAAGGTTCAAGGGGATACATATTTTTTTAAGGTGCTGTAGGGAGGTCTCACTAATTTGCAGACTCTGTCAACAGTCTTTCATCTAAAAAAAAAAAAAATCTGTTGGCAGTTTTTCTGCCTCATTAAGAAAAACAGCCACCGCATATGGAAGCTAATTAAGGTGTCAAAGCTGACGGCATTATTTCACATTGACACATTAACAAACACAAGGAAGAATCATTTGAACTTTTGCTCTATTTTGACTACATTTTTCCATCATTGTTAGCAGTTATTATGTGTACATTGTAAGCAATGTTTAATATGCCAGTTATTGTTTCATATAAACAGTATTTTTTTTGGTCTCAGAAGAATGAAAGATGTATGTAACTGTGGAAAAATAAAACACTCATTGTTATCTGCCTTGCTTCTCATATTATTTTATGTCAACCAAACCAGAAGGAAAAATCTCCAATGTCAAGATAAAATGAACAATATCCTAAGCATGTGAAAGTAGACTCTGCTGGCAAACGTTTAATCATTTCAGAATAGCTCTTTCTAGTATTCCCTCTTTGCTGAAAAACTGTCTGGATTATTTGACGCCTTGCAGCAGTGAGAACAATTTATTTGTTAGATTTCTCCTAAGAGCCGAAGCGAGAAAACTGCAGCCGAAGATGGGGAATATACTTGTCCTTTTGGACACACAGTGCAATTACTTAACTGCAGAATCACATAGCATGAGGTGATTGATCATTGTGTCCTAGTGCGAGTAGTAAAAGCTTTACTGAAGTTTGAAATGAAGAAACATGATACTGTGGAATGATTCTTATTCATATGCTTTTACTTTAAACTCAAGGCAAGGTTTCGCTGTCTGTTCCTGGAAAGAAATTGGAGGAATTAATGATTTTTGCTTTGAATTTTGTTTTTCTGCGACTTGATGCTGGTGTACTGCAGAGATAGGGTTAGCTAACATGTGGTATGTTGAGGTTTTTTTTTCTCAGTTTTATCATTCATACTAAAGTCTGCAGATTTATTTTGCATACTGCTGAACATATACTTCATTGTGCTGTGACATTTTATAACATTGAAAGAGAAAGTATTTTTTCTTATCTCTTTCTTATTCATTAAAGTACCGAGGCTGAATACATACACAGTATGCGTTTTATATTCCAAAGTTAATCTATTCATTGCTTTTTGTCTTCCTTATCTACCTTTTTTTATTTGTTCACCTTCTTTATGTTGTGGTGGTGAGTACATCTTTCCACCTATTAAGAAAACAGAGAATTTCATTGGTCTATCTTTTTTTATCCTGCCGCCAGCATGGTGCAACTCTTTAATTTGGTTTTATTAAACTTGCTATCTATAAGCCTGTCAGAATTATCTGGACACAGAAACCTGGGGGGAAAAAAACATTTTTTACTGTTTCATGGGCGCTCAATGCTGTGCGTAGCTCTCCAACTCAAGGACTTTCATCACAAATTTTATCTCATAGCTTTTTTTAAAAAATCTTTTCATAAACTTTTACTTTTCTTGAGCTGGAATTCCAATCCTCAGTGCATGTTCTTAGTTTAAACAGATTACTTTCTCCGCTCTTGCAACAGTGATATAGAACATGGTTTATAGGATGCTTTGTTCAGCATCCCTTCTCTTACATTACCTACCTTCCCATCGACAGAATCACATCCCCAACTGCTTTAATTAAACGTCTCATTCTGTTCAAACTAAAATATTTACCAAGATGTGGCAGCCCTTCTTAGAATATTTAGAGGGAAAAAAATCAGCCACACAAAGTGATTAAATACTCGGGCTATGTCATCCAAAAGCCTATTTGTGCCTTCTTGCAATTTGAGTTAATAGGAATCATTAGAATCTATTGTAGCTGCCATTAAGGTTGCTGTTGATGTCAGCGGTCTTCACGTATTGCAAAAATTTTACTGCCAGTTTACTGAGCTGCACTAATCCTGCAATACTTTTCTTTTTTCTTTTTTTTTTTTGCTTGTGTGCGAACCAAACGTTAATAAAAGAGATTTATATACTAAAAAGAATTAGATGATTTTGTGTATTTTTATCACAAAGTTTCAGTTTACACTATGATGCCAGGAAGTGGCTTGTGAAGGCTATAATATTGTCAGACTCGCATACTCTCCTGTTTCGATAGTCAACAAATTTATATCCTCACATCATGTTTGCCTGTTATCTGTCATTGGACCTTGTATGAAGGTTTTAGCTGTAATGCATCACATTTCACTATTTTAACAGATGCTGTGAGGTTTAACCATTAGGTCAAAGTTACTCTGATTTTTAAATGGAATCGTTTTGTTTCTTACAGAACATACATTTTAAGGCCTCGTTTGCCTCTTATGTTGTACTTCTTGACAGTTTCCGTTCTAACAAGGCAATTACTCAAAGACGTATTGAATTATTGGCAGTAACAAAATGAGAGATAGAATTACACAAGAGAGCCTCACTCTTTGCTTTGCACAGTTTTGGTAGCCTACAGGCTTCCAGGATTTTATAGTTCATTAGACTATGACATGTTTTCCTAATCAAGTTTTTATTTTACCCTCAGGTCCAAGAAACTTGAACAGCATCAGTAAGAAAGCTTTGGATGGAGACAGGGACCTCTTCACTCACTTACCCACACAAGACACAGAAAGTGAAGTTCACTCAGTCACCTCTGTCTCACCGATGAACATGCCCAACCACCGGCCTATCCTCAAGGGTCTGCTGCTTCACGAACACCTACTAACAAGAGACTTCCAGGGAGACCAGCATTTTTTCAAGAAGGATGGCTCTGTGGCTTTAGACCCCACCATGCCCGGTTTTGTCTCGGCTCCGAATGCGGGAGACTCCATCACTCAAATCGTGGCCCACAAGGATGCCCCGGCCTTCTCGGACATTGCCACCACTGCCACAGAGCCTGCCACCTCTCCGCTTACCACATACTCTCCAACAACACCGGGGCCACCCGTCTCTCTCCCTCTGAAGAAATCACCCAAGGAGAAGATGAAGGATTCAGGCGATTCAGAGCCAACAACAGATTCCCTCACTACTCAAGTGACACCATACAGCAGAGGGCCAGGCACTCCAGTGGCTATCTTATCCTCAAAGGAAAGACATTTTCCAGTTGATGTAACACCTGGGCCCTTTTCAACAATTATGAAGAAAGACCAGGCTGGAGAGAAATTGAACCCCGATCATCTAATCTCTAAGCTTCCTTCGTCATTTCAAGAAGAAGATCCCAGCTTAGCATCTACGACCGTCATCACAACTATGATCACCACAATGCAAACATCAGGTCAGTGTGTAGATGCTGTACTTTGACCTTCAAATGTCTTTCACAAAAAAAGGTTGTTTTTTTTTTTTTTTTTTTTTTTTTTGTAACTGGAATTAACATATAGTCTTCTTCTTTTTTACTAAATAAATATTCAGAGTTGGGTGCATCTTTCTGCAAGACTTAACCCATTTCTCCCAGCAGGGAAGAAATTAAGCATCCGGTCATCAGCATCACGTCTGTTCATTTTTGCATTCTGCACACACAGCTTGCTATTCATCCCTCCACACGGGATAACGGAGTTGCTCATGTGTCAAAAACAATCTGATTTTTTTGCCTGATGTGTCCTGCCTGTCCTTTCCTCTGGTCACAGAGGGCTGAGGGCCCAGATAAGCGCTATCAAAAAGGATATCTGCCGAGATAGTTGGAGGGTTATGGGGTTCATGGAGAGACACAGGTGGGCTGTCAGAAAGATCAGCGGTCTGGGAAACAAAAGAAAATCACTTTTTATTTTTGCTCTCTCCAACAGAGCCATGCAGCATGAATTTTACTGAGTCTGAGGGCAACATTGCAATCCAGCAGCACGTTGACCCTGGGGTGGAATGCACCTACTTGATCACTGTCTACCTGGGATATGGCATTGAGGTTCAGGTAAGTGCTGGACACTTTATTGTTCGTCGTTCCAAAACTTCACTAGTTTTCTATGGTAGGTTCCAGAAATGACATCAAAGTCTGTGACTCAAATGTTTCAATTTGCTCTTCAGATGTAAAAAAGATAAATAACAATACCTCAAATTTGACAGAATCGTGAACAACTTTTGTCATTTGTAATAAGAGAACATGAACTGTTGTGTCATGCACATATCCTGTTTGATTTGTTACCCTGCAATATTTTTATGTTGGCTGTAGCTTCTTAATGAAGATCAAATGGATATCTAACATCAAGAGATCAGCAATTTAATATTAAAATAAACCCAATTTTTCCTCAACCCTCATCTTATTCTTTTCACTGTTTTGCTATTGCCACTATCAAATACATTTTTGGCTTTTCAGAATAAAACTACTCAGCACTTGATAGATTGCACCATACTCCTTAGTTTATAATGTGTAGCAAAAATTGCAACAAATGTACAGTTTTGGAAATGACAAAAAATGTAAATTAGGATTTATAACATGGTTTCCATGGTTGATGTTCCACATTTACTGGAATATCACTTTGGAAAAAAAATGCACATCTAGGAGTTGTTTTAATAAACCTTGCTTTTTTTATTTTACTTGACAAAAATTATTATGAATATTGCTACTCTTGCTTGAGTGAACTTCCTAATTACTGTACTCAGAGAGTAATTTCAATAAATGAAGAACAAACATGTTTTAATCAAAAATGCATAATAAACATATTTACAGTTTATGCATGTTGAATTGAGACTTCTTGTTTTGTCGTGAGTTTATTGTTTATTATCTTCTATATTTGTAATTCTTTTAGCTTGCACATGTATTTTTGTGTTTTGGATGCCTGCTTTTTAGTAAAAATATATGAAAGTTGTTATACTCTTATTTGAGGACAAGTTTTGAATACTCTACCCACTTCCAATGTTGGTTTCCAACGATTCTTGAATAATCTCTAACTTAGAATAAAAATAGGGGAACAAAAGCATTGAGCAAGACAAACACAAAAATTTAAAATGTCATCACCAATAAAAAATATGCCTTAGAAAAAGAACATTTTCTATTAAATTAAGAAATTTATCAGGTTTATTTCTCACGGGACAAATAATTTTCAAAAATACTTCATAGTATTTATAACAGTTTCAATCCATTGTCTAAAATTGTTTATTCTTGTAAGGTTGGTGCTTACCTCCAGCTGTCCTTAGGTACACTTCAGGCAGGTCACCAGTGCATCACAGCTTCATTGCAGTTCTTTATTTAAAATTAAGTGTTATAAAAGTTGTCATAAATCCACATGTTAAATGGGGCATGACTATATAACAGAGCCCATAACTGGAATTCATAACCTAGTGTTATTGGCATACTTAAATTAAGCAAATTTTTAATTCAGACATGAGATATTTCAATTGCATACTAGACTTACACTTGGGGAAAAAATACTTGGGAACATTTCTGGAAGGTTCAAATATGCATCATTAAAGTCGGATTGACTGGCTTCTTGGAGGAAAAGAAAAAATTAACAGTAAGCAAGATCCTGAGGTTCAATCAAAGCTTTGAAAATATGGTATTTATGTTCATTTTATGTTCTGCCAGCCTAGAATTAGTTTTCTTAAGGCTTTTCCCCTCAATTCTTTGAAAAATCTTCTGTTTGCTGCAGGACAAGGTGAGGAGGGGATTGTGGGAACTTTAAATGGATCAAAACATGTTGTCTGTTACTGCAAATTCAACGGATTGTTACCTGACAGACGTGCTAGAAAACAATAAACAATAGAAATTGAATATGTAGGCTAGTAAACCAAAAGAAAAACCATCAAAGTTATCAGAAGCTTTATTAAAGCTGAGGGAACACTGCATGGTGAAAGCTTGGCCGATTTAAACTGCAGTCCTTATGGAAACACCTGCTAAACTGACATCCTTTAGCACCACAATGTTTTATTCAAGGAGTGAACAGACCTGACTTATTCTGGTTTAGTTTCCGCCGAGGGAAGACTCGCTGGCGTTTTTTCGCTTGCTGGAGATATGCAGACGGTGAATTCATTGGAGTGAGTGGGAGGATGGGGCAAAAGAGACGGGGCCTCATCTGAGGTTGAATGTTTGTTCAGTAAGTCTCTTCACAAAAGGTTATAAAAATTAACTGTCAGTGTGAGCATGTTCCCCGGCATTTGCAATTCCTCAAATGCTTCATTTACCACCAGAGACTTTAAAATGCACAAGCTTTGTTTTGTGCCTCTGGAGGGCTAAGATAAGTCTTGACGGAGTATATGTTTGAGAATGTGCTTTTCTCCAAAGACTTTCTCTGGGTAACTTAAGTAAATTTTGAACTACTTATGAGTAGACACACGCTTACCTGCGCGCACACTCACCGAGCCACACGTGTTTAATGTATCAGCCTTTGGCTTTCACTGCCTGTGGTGTCTCGGGTACATTTCTTTTGTAAGTTTCTGAAAAAGTTCAGCCAGGCTGCATGAAACCCCCGAAGGAAGTCATTCTTTTCAAGTACTAAGCAAACAGATGGGGGCTACCTTGTACCTCCTTCTGACAGTCAGAGGAGAAAATTTTTGTATGTCTTGCAAGTTATAAAATATACAAAAGTTACAAGAGCAAAGCATATATTCAACAAGAAGCAATGTGCTATACATTGTCGCTTGTACTTTGGGCGATTTCGAACCAGCTTTGGTTCACTTTGTAACGATATACAGATGACCAGTGATCCCAAATCCTCTTCTTGTGGTTGTGATTTATTTACTTTCTTCTTTTATGAACTAGAACACGTCTTCCAGAGTCAGATGCATTGTTAACTCTGAGAGATATTTCTTTTGATAAGATTAGACATGCATACTACATACGCAGTTTTATGGTTCTCCGGTTAGATCAGTGTTTCTCAATAATTTTCTCTCATAAGTTTTCTCATGTACAAACCAGAGGCACCAGGATTCTGTGACTTGATTATCAAAGCAGATTAATACAATTTTGACTTTAAGTTTTTGCAGCTCATTTTAATGTTTTAAGTCTCAAAACAAATTCCATGTTCAATTTTTGAACTCAGTTATTGGCATTTAATCAATACTGCTCAGTCTAATCAATGCTGCTTGTGTGATTCTCAAAAGAGAAAATGTGCAAATGATTCACTGCAGTTTTAGACTTAACAAAATAAAACTTTTTAAAACTGTAAATATTGATAGTTTGTCAACTCCTTCAGCTTATTATTTTTCAAAAGTGATTGTTGTGTGAAAAATATTCTAAGCAATAATGTACAACAATATTACTTAGATTTCAGCTTGTCAGAACAGAAAATCAGTTTCATCTTTGTGGAGGGAGAGCATCAACAGCTATTTTCAAGTCCTACAAATTCTTTAAAGATTTTTAAGGTCTGGACTTTGACTGGGCCATTTGAACAGACATATGTGCTTTGATCTAACACATTTTATAATAAGCCCTTGCCTGTATGTTGAGGATAGTGGTCCTTCTGGAAGCTAAACATCTGCTCATGTCTTTAGCTGCCTCCCATCAGGATTTGGTCCTTTACTCAGCTCCATCCGTCTTCCCATCAACTCACCCCATCCTCCTTTAAAAAGAAAAGTGCAAACCCACATTCATGATGCTGGGGGCAGCCTCAGGGTTGATGTGTTTAGGATGTCGTGCACTTTGCTTTTGGTCACGTATCTCGTTCTGTTGAAGATCAATAACTTAACGATTTTGTTTTGTTTTGTTTTGTTTTGTTTGACCAGAGCATCTTTTTCCACATGTTTGTGGTCTTTTATGGTTTGTGGCAAATGTCAAACACAACTTCTTACGGCTTTCTTTCAAAGAGCTGCAGACATCTAGCATAGCTTATAACTCTTTTGCTGATAGTATTTCCTTAGAAAAAATGTGACACCTGCCTCTCCCATGGTGGAGGCACAAAATGTTCAGGCAGGGGCAACAAGAATATTCAGATTTTGTCTTAACATACATGGAAGTATCTGTGTGCTACTTTACAAAAAAGTTACCTGTGCAGAATAATATTTGCCTAAGTTTTAATATCTTTGACACTGTAGTTGTTGGGAGTTACAGAAACCATGCTTGAAACTTTGGACAGGTAGACAGACGTTAAAAGAAAATATTAACAGGTGCTCCAAAACGGGAAAATTGCATGCTTTTCTGATGAAAATATCTAAAAAGTTTGTTTTTCTGAAAAATAAATCAAAATTGTATGAATGATGCCACTGCATGAATGAATGAAAATAGGAAAGAAAAAGGTTTGTCAATTCAAGTAAGACTGGCTGACCATTTTCCTGAACACAAAACAAGGAGGGGTTATTTCTCTGTAGTACAACCACAGAAAAAGTTCTGAAAAATAAACTAATAAAAATATTAATAAAAAAAAAAAACACAAAAAAAATGCAAAATAAAACAATGTGGGTGTGTGTGTGTGTGTGTGTGTGTGTGTGGGTGTGTGTGTGTGTGTGTGTGGGTGTGTGTGTGTGTGTGTGTGTGTGCTTCCAAGAAAAATCCAGTCAAAGTTACCATCCTTGCAATGATTCCAAAGTTCAATCAATTTTCTTGGTCTTATAATTTACAGTGTCAATCACAGGCTGACATTTCACTGACAACTCTGAGGTGATGAGCTGTAGGAGAGACATTATGGTTGAAGTGCATGTTCATAGTTTGGCAGCCAGCCTTCGTTATGGAAGGAGGTTTTCATTATAGCTGACAGTCCAGCAGTTTGCAAGGGCAGAGCATGGTAATTAAATTAACGGATTAATCTGGAGGACAGATGTGAAGACTGAAATGAATATTTTCACATGCTGTTATTTTTTTCACTTCTTTTTTTAAATCATTACTTCACTCAGACGTCTTAGACAAACAGACATATTTCCACTTCCAGCACTCAAAGATGCTTGAAAGTGGGATCAAAAATATGGGCAAGAAATAAGCGTGATGAGACAATTCCTGCATTTAGTCTACATTATTTTTAGCAGTCTGGCAGCTTGTGAGAGAAG